CGCAAGTATGCAAGTATGGAGAACAGCGATAGATGGACGGACGCTGAAGTGCAGGCACTTGTAGCAAATGTAGCACTGCGTTGGAGATTTCCATTATTGTGAAACCCGAGAGACACAACAAACACACAGCTCCGATCACAGCGTCCTCCATCCTCCTGTTGTTAATGTTGTTCTTCTTTGTTTCTGTTGTTGAACGCCGCGCACAAATGACGTCGCTGTCGACCGGTTCCTAGCACACACTGTCTTCTTCTGCTTACACTTAAACTTGAACAAGTGTGAGTTACTTGCAATTCATGGCAGCGAACTAGGCTCTTTATGTAACATACCAATAAAAACATGTGTAAAATACTTGGGGATAACTATTACTAGAGATAGTAATCAAAGTGTCCAAGAAAATTTTGTTAAAAATCTTTCAAAAGCAAAAACTATTCTCAATAACTGGATACAAAGAGATATCTCAATTTTTGGAAGAGTTTTATTGACTAAAATGGAATTACAAATATATTAGAAGTGTCTTCATTGATAAACTTCCCATCATATTTCTCCTCTGATCTTCATAACTTCTGCAACTTAAAAGAACATGTTCTATGGTTTCTAATGTCTGACAATATTCACAAAAACCAGTAGGATGCTTCCCTATAATGTGTAATGCACTATTTAAATTACTGTGTCCTATTCTTAATCTTGTCATCACTATTTCTTCTCTCCTAGTCCCTGCCCAATTCCTCTCTATAGCAACTTTATTTTGAATGGCATACACGTCTTCCTTTAGCTTCCCGTCCCACTGCCGTTGCCATTCTCTCATGGCTTCTTTCCAAACTATACTTTTCCCTTCAGATTTGGACATCTTTATATGTACTTCAATATTCTCTTTTTTAATTGCTTGTTTAGCTCATTTATCCACTCTCTCATTGCCCAAAATGCCTATATGAGCTGGGGTCCAAATCAGTCGAATCTCATTACATTTTTCCTTTACTCTTGTATATGTTGTTGATATTGCATATAACAGGTCCTGACGGCTATTGCACATACCTGTCCTGAGACTGTACAGTACTGACAATGAAGCACTTCCAATTAAAACTTTACTCATTTTGTCCTGCTTTCTAATCCACTCTAATGCCATCATGATAGCATATAACTCAACTGTATACAGGTTCAGATCATTCGTGGTTCGGTTGCTTTCCTCGCCTCCTTGATTAACTATAAAAATGGCTGATCCAGTCCTTCCTGTTTCAGGATCTTTCGACCCATCTGTATACATTTGAATATAGTCTCTGTATTTATCATCCACATATCTGTAGTATTCAGCTACAAGGTCTATACTATTGTTTATCGTTTTGATTTGATGTAATTCAAAATCAACTTCCATGGTTTCAATCTTCCATACTGGAAAGTCAGGCCATACAATAGTTGGGCAGAACTCTTTTTCGCTCACCCCCAAATCTCTAGCTGTCTCGTCTCCTATCCATCCAAAGCTAAACTTTGGCGCCCTTTCCTTTTCCCAGCTAGCTTGCAGTACCCTCTTAGTAGGATGTTCATCTCTATGTCCCTTTAGATTAATCCAATAATTTACCAGCAAGTGTTTATGTCGAATATCCAGTGCCATTTCTCCCGCTTCCACTTGTGGTGCACATACTGGTGATGTTTTTACTGCTCCTAAACATAGTCTCAATGCTTCAGCCTGTATTGTATCAAGTCTTGCAAGTACAGATTTGGCTACTGATCCATATACAACTCCCCCATAATCTATTCTTGACCTTATTAAACTTACATATATATATTTCAGTGATTGATAATCCGCTCCCCATTCTAACCCTGATAAACATCTCATTGTATTCATTACTTTTTTACACTTATCCTCCACATTCCTTATATGTTCTACCCGTGTTAACCTTGGCTCAAAATGTACTCCTAGAAAGCAAAATTTATTAACTCTCTCCAAATGACTTCCGTATAGTTTTAAATTAAAGCCTTCATTGATTTTCCTCCTTGTAAAAAACATTACTTTAGTTTTTTCAACAGAAACTTTAAAACCCCATTTTATTCCCCACTTCTCAACCTGCTGAATACCATCTTGCACTTTCTTAACTATATGTTCTACATTTCTTCCTCTTTTCCATATTGCTCCATCATCCGCAAATAATGATCTTCCCATACCTGCTGGTACATTTACATATATGTAATTTATCCTTACTGAGAATAGTACACACTGTCGGTGCGAATGCAACCCTTTAAATGGTACTGGGAAATAGTTCGCACAAAATCCCAGTACTTTAGTACTGTACATTTAGTTCTGGAACTAAAGCGATGCGAAAGGCCCTAAAGTCTTGATTTTGTTTTGGGGGTGTACTAGAACATGCTCTCATGCTTGGTGGTTCGAAAAACGCATTATTTTTCACATAATTTACATTATTAATACCTTTCTCCCCAGGCTGGCACAAACGGCTGGATTAGTTCCGGCTTTGATGAAGCTCCGCCTTCCGAAAAACAAAATGTGTTGTGATTGGTCAGCTGTCCCAGTGCGTTGTGATTGGCGAACAGCTTAGACGGTGTTTCAGTACTGCCCCGCCCCTTGCTCCGTCTTTCAACAAAAGCTTTTGGGAATCTGGCACTCTACTCCCTCATGTTGTGGAAGCTGTCCTCAGTAAAATGTGCAGCACACAATAGCAAATTGGGGTTATAATGCTCAGGAACAGAGTTAAAAAATAAATTGCAACCACTGTTTCCTGACATCATCTGCTTTCGTAAGCCCAAAGAAAGACGTTTGGGCACGGAAGTGAAAAAAACCAGCGTTTCTGACGGTCGCACACTTAACGAGAAGTGCAGCGTCGCGTCGCACCACGTCTTTAAAATTCAAATACTGGTAATACTTTACTTGAAGGGGTGTGCATAAGACTGACATGACACCTTCATAATCATGACATGACACATGTCATGAATATGAAGGAGGTTTTATGCATGTTTATGACAACTGTCATTAAGTGTCATTCACTCAGTTATGTCATTT